CTCCACCTGGATTTAAGGCTCCTTGAACAGAGGGAAAAGTGTTTAGATTGCAAAAAGCCATTTATAAACTAAAGCAATCTCCCTGAGCATGATTTTAAAGGTTTAGTAATGTTGTCCAAAGAGTTGGATACACTCAAAGTCATGCTGACCATGTTTTATTTGTGAAACATACTAACGTCAGTACCATTGCCCTCATTGTGTATGTAGATGACATTGTTGTAACAAAAAATTGTCTCAAAGAAATTCAACAGCTTAAGAGCTTTCTGGCGAGGGAATTTGAGATTATAGATCTTTGCCCATTGAAGTATTTTCTTGGGATAGAAGTTGCCAGGTCTAAGAGAGGAATCTTTATCTCTCAAAGGAAGTTTGCATTGGATCTCCTTAGGGAAACATGGAAGCTTGGGGCAAAACCTGCTAATAATCCTATAGAACAAAATCACAAGCTTGATGACAAAAAGAGTGAAGGACTTACAGATGTAGGTATGTTCTAGAGTTGGTGGGTAGATTGATATATCTTTCACTAACGCGTCCAGATATTGCGCGTGTTGTAGGATGATCAGACAGTTCATGCATGCTCCTGGAGCTGTTCATCTTGAAGTTGCTTACGGAGTTCTTAAATCTTTAAAATCATCACCAGGTAGAGGATTGTTATTTGCGAATCATGGGCAGCTACAAGTTGTGCTTATAAAGATGCAGATTGGGCTGGTTGTATTATGGATCAGGCTATTGCACTCTAATTGGGGGCAACCTTGATACTTGTAGGAGTTAAAAACAATCAGTTGTAGCCCGGTCAACTGCAAAAGCCGGGTATCATTCCATGGCTCATAGAGCATGTGATTTGTTGTGGTTAAAAAGCTTGTTATGGGAACTTGGTTGTCCTATGAAAGGATCAATATCCTTATGTTGCGATAACAAAGCAGCCATTAGTATAACTCACAATCCTGTTCAGCATGATCAGACCAAGCATATCAAGGTAGATCGACACTTTATTCGCGAAAGAGTTGCTGCCAGAGAAATTAGTCTTCCCTATGTGAAGACAAAAGATCAGCTAGTAGATATTCTAACAAAGGTTGTTGATAAACATCAACTACAAGTTATCTTAAGCAAGTTGGGCATGATTAATATCCATGCACAATCTTGAGGGGGAGTGTTGTGAGAATGAGTATTGAAGGTTTAGTCATCATTATTTTGTATTTAACTCCGCCTTGGTCAGTCCCCTGCCGTTCCCAAGCCAAGGTAAAGGAGGAGGGTTGTGTTAGGTAGGTAGTCAGTGTAAAACTTTACCCCAATTTTCCATGAATCCTGAATCTATGTTACTAATCTTACTGATGGTATGGCTCTTGATAGAGCAGAGTGGAGGAACAAGATTTGTGTAACCAACCGTAAATAGCTGGGATAAAGCTCTGATAATGATGATGAAGTCTCTAAGGACTTATTTGACCCTTTTCCAGAAGGATGTTCTTGTACAGCAAACAAATCTTTTATAACTAATATAAATATATGAGAGGTGTTGGACGTCAAAATGGCCTAACGTTATCTTCTCTCTTTCAACCTCTCTCAATGTTCTCTTCCTTCCTCACTCTCTCTCTTTCATTAAGCACTTGATCTCTTCATCGTTTTTCTCCCTTTTCCTCTTTCTTTCATTATTTATTGCTGTATTTTAAACTAGGATGGCCATATAGGGACCAAGGTCGGCCTAGGGCCAGGACTGGCCTAGCCCTAGCCAGGCTCAAACTCAGCAGGTTGCCAACTCTGCATAGAAGAGTAAATAACATAATATAGTGGCCAGATCAAGTGCAAAAGCTGAATATAGGGTTGTGGCAGATGAGGCATGTGAAGTTAAGTGGGTTAAAACTATATTGGCTGATATAGGAGTTAATTTTTAGTTACCTATGCCTCTTTATCTTGATAAGAAGCACCTATCCATACTATTGAGAACACTGTATTTCGTGAGAGAACAATGCATACTGAGGTAGAATCTCATTTCATAAGGGAAAAGGTTGCAGTTAGAATTATTTGTACTCTATAGGTGAAATCGGGAAATCAACTAACAGATACCTTCACCAAAGTTGTTGCTCGTGATAGAATACAAGATATAGTTGTCAAGCTGGGCATGATTGACATCCATTCTCCAGCTTGAGGACAAGCATTGAAAGTACAGTAGTAAGATAAGGATATAAATGGAATATCTTATTCAATAGGGTTATGTGTGAGTTATTTACTTATACAGGGGCGTCTCTTGTAATTCTTTCATATCAATATAATAGATCCATGTAACCTATCCCATGAGGGATCACACTACTCGTTTCTCTTGCCTCTCATGCACCTCTATACTTTCTCTTTCAACATATTCTTCTTCCTCTTTCTCTCCGCATCGCCTTTCTCATCTCTCATATGCTCATCTACTGCTTGCTAATTGACACAAAATGTAGGCTATATCTTTCAACTATATGGAGGTCCATGTCTGCATAATTAGTGTTTCAAGTACACTTTACTGCTTCTTGGTAGAATAATGACAATAGAAAACAAAATGAAGCATTTATGTCGAATGCATAACTACAGAATCATGTCAACACTTTCAAAGGACATTCAATTGGCTCAAATGTTTTAACTGATCTTGGCATGCCAGTTGCATTGCCTACTCTTCATTATGATTGCAACATCAATCTGGTAAAGGTAGCCACAGGAACAATGTTTCAAAGCAAGACCAAACGCATAGAGGTGGATTGTTGCTCTCCACAAGATAGAGTAACATGTCAATTTATCACTTTTCCTCATGTCCCAATAAAATATCAAATAGCATTTTGTAGCTACTCAATTAAAATTATAGACATGACTTCTTATCAAAAGACTTATCAGTTTAGAAGCCATATTCCATAGTATGCATGACGACCAAACTAACCTAGACTCACTGTGGTTGACCAAGACAGGTTTTACAATGGGTCAAATCAGGGTTTGATCTAGTGTTCCTTAACCTGCCAAGTGAAGTCGTGCCTCATTTGACCATGCCAGGTCTCCCCAGGTCGAATGAGTTAGGTTGTGGTTGGTTGTCTTAAAAATTACAACTTTCGTAAGTGGTTATGAATTTTGAATAATTTAATTTTTCAATAAGTTAAGCTTTATGACTTAACTAACAAATGTGTCAATAGAATAAAATTAAAATTAAAACAGTAAAAAATCCCGAATCCAAAGATCAAATCCCATGCCAACCTAACTAAAAGAAAGAAAGAAATTCAAAGAATACAAAACATAATATAGGATTTTATTGGCATATTTATGTAAATAACATCTTATTTTGGTGAAAAAATATTCACAAAATTTAAGTTCTAGTTATAGCATTGGATTTGCATTAGAATTCATGTTTTAGTGCGTATTGAATTATGGTCATGAATTTTTATTAAATCAGATGAACCTTCTAGTTGTTGTTTTTTAAATTCAATCATTTGAATTATTGTCTGCAATATAAATTCCTCTTAAATATTAAAAAAATCTATGTTTGACCAATTGGGTTGACTTGCTAAGTCCAACGTCCACCAACCTGGTGACAAACCAAGACCAAGTTTGGGCCTAGGTTTGAGAACTATGGTAGAACCGTTAATTTGAGTTTTTTTTTATTTATTGTTAATTGTACTTCATTAATCATGGTATAATTTAAAAATTTACAAAAAAAACTCTCCATCCAAGGACTTTCTGATCAATACAAATCCCTAACTTCCTTATGATGTTATCACAGGAACTAGTTTTGAAAAACCATCTCTAGACCAATGTTCTCAGATTCGCTTCGCAGTTTTCTACGGTTTGGTGAGAAAAATGAAGCAATTCAGTGCTTTGGCCAATTTGGGAGAAGACTTCGGATTTAAAAAAAAAAAAGTATAAATAAATTAGATATTTATATATAAAATATATACAAATGATGGAAAAAATTAAAAATTAAAAAAATAAACAAATTAAACAAATAAAAAAAATGCATTTATATAGATAATTCTTTGTTGGCCAAAGAGACCCGAAGCATGCCCGAACAAACCCGAAGCGGTCCAAATTTGACCGAAGCAGCCCGAAGCAGACCGAATCTGACCGAAGCGGCAACACCAAGCTTCGCTTCTCTTCGGTTTATGCCTAAAATCCGAAGGCTTCAGCCGAAGCGAAGCGAATTTGAAAACATTGCTCTTGACAATGAATCCACGACCATATTGGGTTCTCTCCGTAAATGACATATCAGTACGATGCAATTTGTGTTGCATGTTATCTATAAATGCATTATGCATAGGTGTCCAAATGTATACTTATCGTGACGAACTCTGACCATTGGAACCCGTGATTACTGCATAAGAGATTACCCCTGACACCCCAAGCCTGACAACTCCCCATTCGAATGGATAGAATAAGCTTTCTAGGTTTTTAAATCTTCATTACATCCAGGGATTAATAACCATGGACTCTCTTGTGAATGGTCCAAACTAGTAAATATTTGAAAGATGTAAAAATGAACAGCATGCAGATAGAAGGGGGCCCTTCTTCAATGAGCTGAAAGCCCACAAAAATGTCTTAGAATGCAAATTAGTACTATGCACAACCCATGTTTGCAGAATAAACAGCCAGTAGGTCCCAAATAGCAAGAGTCCATATATTTAGATAATCATCCAATCCAATCAATTTTTGTGAAGAATCAGCTTTTTGACTAATGGCACTAACACTAGAAAGAACAGGAAAATGAGCGAAGAAAGAAAATTAGTAAGCATTATCACAAGCCTTATTTTGCTTGCATGAAATCACAATCAGAGATTAAGTCAGCCACGATCCTTGGATTTGAAAGCAAATTAATTTGTCAATGTAACAAATAACACATGTTAATTCATTCTCTGATTATTGGTAGGGCCAGTCATATACATGAATGTTCAGCCAAAAGAAAGCATTCTCTAATGCCTAGGTCATATTTACCAATAAAGCATATAAATTTAAAAGAATAAAAAAATCCATTATCAACCATATCAATAATGTACCAAGCTCCTTGTAGCCTGTCCAATCACTCTTCTCCCACCACTGTAAATAAAAACGATCAAAGGAGTTAGTCAAATGAAGTGTTGTAATCCTGATCCTAAAAAGACTCATCAAATACTAAAAAAACAAAAAATAATCACTAGAGTTTCCTAAAACAATTTGACAACAACTAAGAAAGCATCATAAGTAAAGAAAAATAAAGTTTTTCATTTCGAATTTGATACCCCTAAGTTTATGTACATCATCATTACTGATATGAATAAATAACACCCAATCCATCATTCACAGCATTTAGAGACTTAATGATTCGAATTTGATACCCCTAAGTTTATGTATACGTGCATAGGTTTGTAATGTTATCTTCACCTTGATGGACACATAAAGAGTGAGTATGGAAGAGAAAGAGAGGAAGGCAGGGTTGAAAGAATGAAGTCTGATTTTGCCAGTTTGCTGGAAAAACGGATGAAATTAGGAGAGAGAGACGGAAGCTTCAAGAGCGAGAATGGAATAACAAAAAGAGTACAACTTTTAAAAAGAAAAATCTTTTTTCAAAAGCAGAAATAACCCGTGCTTTAGGTTCCCCGGTTGTTCTTGTTGACTTCAACTAAATATTGTGTCGCTCAAATCTAATGGCGTAGAGGCCGCAGCCCTATGAAAACATTTTCCAAGCATAAAATAATATAATACCATAATATCATCTCCAAAACTAGAACTTTCAAAAATGCAGGAAAAGTTCAATGTAAAATCACTGTAATTTAAAACAGAAGGAAACAACGAGATAATGTTGTTTACTCCATACTATCTAATAAAGAAACAATAACATAATGTTGTTTTGGCCATACTATCTAATAACAATCCCTATACATGCAAATGTGCTGATCGCAGAACTGACCATCTTTGGTTTGATGTTTAAGGGCATAATTACTTGTACTGGAAAGTAATGTTCTTTATCTAATTAGTAGATAGCAAATTTGTCCTCGCTGAAACATACTCCTTAGGTCACAAGCATCTCATCATTCATGAACACTAGAGAGAGAATAAGGAGTTTGATCTCTGAGGTAAAGATTTTCTAATAATGATCTAGCTCAAACGGATCAATGCAACTCATATATACAGAGAAGACACTACAGTTCTTCCTCATCTTTATTTCTAAATAACATAGACTCACATGTTAATGTCTTTTTTGTGCGTGTTGACACACTAAGGTCACGACAATGCGTCTGACATTTTAGACCTAGATATTTCTTCTTAACTTTTCTACTTGAAGTCCCACTTTAAAAGCATTTAATGTCACCTAAATTACACAACATTTTTGTAAATGGACTATAGATGTGTCATGTTTGAAAGCCCAATTTTGAAGTTGGTGATATTGATATTCGTAGCCATGTCAAACGCTGACAAATGTATATGTATATTTGTAAGGTTTTTAAAACCCTTGGGGTGGATCTGCAAATAATAAACCCAAGGTTTTTCTCTTTAAACAAGAAACAAGACAAGAAAAATTTAAGTTTGACTTAACAAGGACCATATGCATCGTGCTACATGTGGCCTCTTAATCTCTCTATCCGAACATTCTTAGGGATCAAAACCGCCATCATTAAACCAATTCTAACAAGAAGCCAACTGGAGTTGCATTTACAAAATAAGAAGTCCATACGGCCATAGTTTGTTATTGTTAAAATGCATCATGAAAGAAATAAACATCAACAGCAACAAACTCTTGAGCTATGGAAGCCTGACACACTCTATGGAACAGTCATATATCCAGAAGATTAACCTCCTTTATATACATACAAGGATGAGAAACTCTATTAACTGTGACTCAACCTGGAAAAATTCAGAACACAAGACCTAACAATAATAGAAAAGATACCACATGGAAAGCTTTTATCCTGAGACTGTTAACATTTGTATTGAGAAGGGACTTAAGTTTTGTTTTTCCACACTTTGTCAAACTAACATCTTAAGCATGAAATTGCGCATGTATGAAGAGGTATGGACGTCTTATGGAGGCATACTTGGAGGACGTCAAACAAGCTCGCGGACCTGTTAACAAAAGACGGAGCTAGGACGACACCTTAGCACGGCCGGCAGCTACCTCACCATCCCGTTTTTGGACCTCAGCTCTAACTTTTATAGAACCCTAGCTCCAACAACCCTTTGTAATCTTGTTTCTTTTCTACCTTTGTGGTACGCTCCCCAGTTAAGGGGTACATGTAAGGGCCATTTTTATAAGCCCGTTTTGCTGTCTCACCCAGAGACACTCATTCTCAGGGTCCTCTCATCCTTTATCTCTCTCTTGTACTACCTTGTAATCTTACTTCAGTTACATAAATGTTAACACTTCTCAAAAAAAAAACATCTTAAGCATGATTGGCATTCTTGAGTCTTCTGGTCTTCAATACCTCCAGATGTTACTTCACCAACTTCAGCTTCAAGTGCATAATAGAATATGATCCTTTTGAAACAATCAAAATTTATGAGGGACAATTACTGGTTGGAATGATGTTCAAGGAAGTTGTGATGACTAATTTCTAGAGTAAATTTTTGTTTCTTTCTTATTTCCCTTTTCTTTGAGCAAGTTCTCATTGGAAACAAATAAAATGATGTCTAAGACTATGAGAGAATTGCTTGGTATGATTCTTAGAGTAGATTTTCCATGACAAAAAATTGACTCTCCTTTGGGCAAAGTTATTAACAATGACCATGCTATAGAACAATCCAAGAAAGATAAGAAATTTGAGGACAAAAAATAGTCATAGAATATTTTGGTAAGTTTCAATTTCAGTGTCATTAAAGAGTACAACTACCAGCTTTATTGAGATAGTCTAACTGTGCTTAATACTCTAATTAAGAAGCAACATGACAATCTTGTTGCAAATAAAAGCTCTTTTTCTACCTTGCATAAGTTTAAGGGAGGTATAAGATATAGGTTTATCTTCTATATTTATCGTGTAAGTGTATATATATCTTTCCTCATGTGGTTAAGGACATGGGGGTAAACATGCCACCTGACTTGTATCTTTCCTCATGTGTATAAGGACATGGGGGTAACCATGCCATCTGACTCCATATACAGATGCACATAAACCATTTACAGTTCCACTTTAATGCTAGTGCGAATTCTTTGCATATCCATCTTCATTCTCACTTCAACAACCCTCCCACCCCCCTCCAGACATTCGATATTTTTGTAAAGGCATCCACTATTATTCTAATTAACAAAGACTTTTATGATGATAAAGTCAGCACTTTATAATACAAGCAGTATACCAATGCTTATGAAGTCAAAAAAAAAAGGAGCATGAAGCCATGAAGCATGTAAGAGAAAGTTATACCGTTTCTCTCCATTCTGAAGAACCATCATGACTACGACCACCCATTATAGCCCAGCGACATCTATAACCATTTTCTCCAAGGTCTTCCCCACTTTGACGATACCATGTACTGCCATCTTCATTAATACCCGTCTCATTGACATTTCCATTCAACAAATTGATTCCCCAATCCTTCTCACTAGCGATTCCAGTGTCTGAAAGAGGAAATTAAAGAATTTATCAAAAAGAAAAAAGAAAGGGAAAACAAAAGGATGATTAAATATTTTAAGCACGACTAGAGGAGAAATGTATGTCAGTCATTCAATTGATGTTATAGGAGAGAATGGAAGAAATTCATGGACGTATTGTGGCATTGCCATAGTATTTTGAATGGGAATGCCTAAACTATCAAGTAAGGATGTAACCTCTTTTGGGAGGAGTATCACGAGACTGTGGAGCAGAGTTCTTCGGACTACAGCGGGGACAAAACTCTTCTTGCTTTGGGGCACCCCTCGGCCTGCATCAACAGCATGGACGGGAAAAGAGTTACAAAACACACAACAAAAATATCATCACCTCTCGCAAGCAAATGAAGATATAAAAGAATTGTGAAGCTGCTTCGGAAATTACACCACTAGAACACGTTCCAGGCTTACAAACTATGCACTTGGAATAACCAAATAAGTTATTTATGCCTTAGTTGGACAACAGGATAAGCAAAGGAATTCATATGAGCTCATTCACAAGAACACATATTTTACAACCCAAGAAAATCCAATCTTCATGAAATTGAGTACCAAATAACACTGACACCGCAAGTTTCTTTTGACAGAATACTTATTGCACTTTACATGGAGGAATAAAATCTGCTTTAACAGCATAATGATCTTATAATAAAGAGTGAGAGGGCTATTTACTTACGTGCATACAGAACTGATGAAGAGAGAGCAACCTTAAGGCTCTCTGCCTTTTCTTATAAGGTTATTGTGCTTGGAATAGTGAATAACAACCTATGCAGAAAGTAAATCATGAAGAAATCAAATATTTTAGAGAACCGATATTAACACCCTAAATTTGATTGGCAATGGCAGTGTGAATAGTTGGCCGGCCAAATAATAGTGAAATTCAATTTCTTTAGACTTACTATTCCAAAAGAGTTACTCTTAGCCATAACAATAGATTTATCATAAAGTGCCGGAGCAGCATGTACTTTCATTTTGTACAGGAGAAGCCTTACAGTTAAATACCACAAATACAAACCAAATGAATGAACAAGGCATCCCCTTTTGACAACACAATGTAGGACCACTAAAATAATAAAGAAAGTAAAATTTTGAGTGTATATACCTCAGATACCCTAATTTTGACTGGCAATAAAACAGTGAAACACTATTGCCTGAACTGGCAAAAGAAAATATTTCAAATTTACTTCTTCTCAGAAGTATCTTGGACATCCTTGTCAGCTAATAACATTCATTTCAGGAATTCCTATATCAAAGTTAACATGGTATTAGATGCAATGGCACCCTAGATTACGAAGCCCCAAGTCTTCGATATGCAGTAAAGAGTCTTAAAAAAAATCACATGGATTTACTGTCCATAGTACACGAAGATGTTGAATTCCTCATTTCTGAGGTTCGTATATGCAGCACTACTCGGGGGTAACAAAGCATAGAATCATCATAAGGTTTGATTAGTTCAGATAAAATAAAACCTAGGTGGAGTTTCATTGCAATTTTATCAGGCGTTTGGATTTGGCTCTTCATCAGACCTTTGATGTAATTTCTTGATCAAATTTATACTTTTGGTGATATGAAGTGGTCATGTTTGGATCTCATTGTTGAACCATATTTGGCTTTCTAAAGATTTCACATGTGGGTGTTGGATGGAATAAAAAATTACCCAACTTATTCTCCTAGATCATAAGCATCTTAAGCCACAATTCATGTTCAACGGTTTAGAGCATAAAGGTTTTCTCGGAAATGTTTAGAAAAAACTTGTTGTCAAAGGTTCTATTATCTGGAAATATGTTCTGCTCTGTACTTTTTTCTTTTATGTTGATGGAATCAGAGCAACAAAAAATTTTCTTTTTATCATAGAGCAACAAATTTCCATCAAGTTGACAAGAAGAAACTACACAGCAGGAATTCAATGAAACAAGTTTCATTTATGGAGATATTCAGGACCATATTGATATATAGTGGAACCCAAGTTGGAAATAAAAACACCAGAACATCTTAAACTAAAAACCTCGTTGAGTTAGAGACAATTTGAACAACCATATCTTGGATTGTTTACTTAATAAAATGGTTAAGAACAATGGGTTCACAATATTTTGACTCACCATATATTCTTCAGCATTAAGTACTTCAGAGTACAGCACACCATAGTATTTCTTCAAAAAAATAACTGTTTGGAATAATTCATTTTATATTTATGCATAAGTACACAAAAGATCTCATGCTGCGTGAGTTTGATGCTCCTTCAAAAAATTACAAAACCTTCCAAATTTACCAATAGAGGAATTACAAGCCTATAACTCATAAAACGACACAACTGCATTGCAGGAAGAGTACATAAGGCATCTACCCAACAGACTAAGTGCAATCTACAATAAGAAATGCGCACTTGTAATACACAAAGGGTTTCCGAGAATCTCAAGAAAACAGTGGTACTCCAAATCTGCATCATTACTCCCTCTAAACAAAATCATGGCAATGAGGAAATGGAAGCGACGTATACCTTGCAGAAGTGAAGGGCTGGGCCGGCATAGCGTGGATTCTCACACTTCGAGGGCTCTTCGAGTTCTTCGAAGAAGCTTCGAAGCCCCTCTCCTCTCCTGTCTCACCATGGCTGGAGAGCTTTGGATACTTAGCTTCCAATGAAGAGCAAATGATAACGCCACACAGATCCAGGCGAGCCCTCTTTCTGAACCCAATGTTGATAGGAAGAGGAACAGAAAACCTCTTAAACCTAAGATGAATGCTTCCCGCTAACCCTCTGCAACTCCCCTCCATTCTCTTCACAAACTAATAGGTTTCACTCTCTAACATTTGCATTAGCATGTAAGCTCTCTAAGGATAAAATAAGCAAGGGGAGAGAAGAGGAACCTATTCTAACTTCTCTTCCTCCTAATATATCTCCTCTTTCAGTTCAAAACAAAAAACCTAATCTCCCTCTCTTAGTGTTTCTCTCTCTACAAATCGCTCTCTGTGTTGCAGTCAAGCAGCGGGGGGTGCTGCTCTCGGGGATCTATAAAAACTTCAAAACTTGGGTTCCCCCCAAACCCTCGCTAAAGTCGCGAGGAAATCTGGGCCGTCGGATCCCATTCGAACGAGCAAAGCTGCGCGCTGGTTAACGTCTGGGAGGGCATTTAGCCCAAATTAACCATACACGTTAGCAGGTGTGGGCCCCATCCTTTTGGACACTCCTCCTTCGCTTGGCATCTCCACCGTCAGCGGGCCCCACATCCACGTGGCACTCTTCAGGACCGTCAGCTCGCGTGGGCCCACCTTCCTTGCCTCTGGGGGTTTGTTGGTAGGTACTCCGGAAACTTGGCGCCATCCCCGGAGAATAACGATCCCCGATAGTTCGGCCGAACGCTCCACCGGACTGCAGCAGACTCCCTCAAATCTGAGCCGTCCATTCGGGATAAAACAAGCGCAGGACATCCGATGAAAGGTTCCACATCTGCCGTACATCGCCACTCGTTCCGATGAACGAGCCCCGATATCATCATCGAAGAAGCATCTTTCTAGCTGACTTTTTGGATACTGACTCATCCCCAGATATATCCACGTGTCCCATTTCTACGACCAATGGGGATTGCACTTAATGGATAAGAGTGAAATTGTGAATGGGGGCCGATGTGGCGGATGACTACGCAAATAGCTACGCGGCCCATAACGGAGCACGTGGGCCCATTCCCATACAACACCTCACTTTCTCTCTCTACGTCATCAAGAGAGGCACCACACGCCTGATGCATATCATTTTAGAGAGAGGCTTGGAAGAGATTTTGGGGGTCCACACCGTCCACCAAATGAATGGGTTTTCTAGAGAGAGAGAGGATTTTTTCTAGGGAGTGAAGTCCAAAGTATAGATTGGAGCACGACTTTTGTTGTTGATTGGGCCTAAGACTAGGAACCCCAGTCGGGACGCGTGGCCCGACCACTTTATAATCAATCCACCTCATGAATGGATAAGATCATTCAGTCTCCAAAATTCTTTGCCAAGGTAAACGTGGACAAATCTTAAGATAATGTTTGTATGAAATGGTTCAAGTTATTGCTATGTACTCCTGCGATTTGTGTGGTTTAAAATCTTGCTACCAACCATTTGCAATGCTAAATTTTTTTTCGTATTTTTTTTTTGAGCAATTTAGTGGAGAAGACATGTTCCTAATCGTTTTTTCAATAGATCGAAGAGTTATGTTTTAAATGTGTTAATTGAGGGTGTCATCCGTAAGAATAGATACAGTGTTGTGGTAACTAGATACGGAAATGCTACCACTACGACCCAGCCCTTTTCAATGCTAAATATTAAACAACACATTTGGTACCAATCCAATCCAATCCAATCCATAAGTATTACAGCCCTCTTTTTTAAAAGGTTCAATGTTTATGTAAGTTTTAGTGGTTTTGTTGTCAATTTGTACAAGGGATGTACTTTGTATTTAATTCTTCTTCTTTTTTCTACAAATCTTAAAGACTTTATCAATCAAAGAAATTACATCAAGTAAGTTACAAAAGAAGGTCCAAATCCTTAGCACCAGATAATCCTGGCGGCGACACCCCCATCTTAGCTAATGCATCAACCACCTCATTGGCTACTCTATAGACATGTCTAGGTCTAGAAGAAATCTCTTGAGAACCATTGGCATCGAAGATGTGCAACCCAATTGATCTCAAACTCCAAGGCAATCCATGTTCCTTAATGCACCACTTAATTACGTTTAGTGAATCCCCTCTACAACGAAATAGCCGTCTATTTACCTATCCCATAAAATCTTATATCCTTGTAAATGAGAGGATATTTCTGCCTAATTAGCCGTTGTATTTCCAAAAGGCCCAGCACAACAAAATGCCACATTACCATTCTAATCCCTAAGCAAATCCCCTACTCCAGCAGGACTTGGATTCTCGAGTGAGCTCCCATCGAATTTTTTGGTTTATAACATCTCAACATAGGAGTTGCCCATCTATCTAGTTTCTGCACTCCATTGGTTAACTAAATTCCCAAATTCAATAGGATATCTGGTTCCTATACATCCCAGTCTTCTTTTGTAACAGAGAGAACTTCATAAAGTATGTTGGATTTTACTTTTAATTATATTCTTAGTCGATGCAACCCAATCAAAGGTTCTTATGTTCCTCTCTTTCCAAATCTCCTATAATACGGCCCCATGATAAATTTCCCATATTGTTTTTACCAATTTTTAGCAAACCAGACATATTAAATTGTTTGATAATATCCTCATGGCTCCTAATAGCATCAAAGAGAAACCTAATCTCTAAAAACACCATTTCCAAATATGAGATACAACAAGGAATGCAAGAATAGGTGATCCCCTATTTCTTTCTCTTTCTTGACAATGTTACACAGAAATGGAAAGTTGAGACGTTGGGATGAAAACCTAGCTTGTACCATCTTGACCCAATATGTTTTCTTAGGTGATCCCCTATTTCCTCATCTTATTTACACATCAAACAAATATTATCCATAATCTTGCCTTCCTTTTTCAAATTATCTATAGTAAGAAGTTTCCATTTGCATCGCAATCAATACACAAACAAAAAAAAAAGCTTTTTATGGGGAACTGGCCACTTCCACATTGTATTAAGCACACGTTGTGCCCGCCTCATTCAATTATAAAAGAATAGGCGATATGCATACCTAATAGTAAACATTCTATTATTATTTATCTCATGTGTAACCTCATTTTCAGCATTAAGAGTAAGGTAGACTCCTTCAACAATTCAGCGAGTCGAGTAATCACGACATCTGGAACTATGTTATACGAGAAATCAATAACTACAACCCCAACAATGTGATGGCTGATTCTCTCACCAAGGGGGGCATCTCTTTAACAGAGGCACTTGTCTTTGATACTGTAATTTCCTTCTTTTGATACTATAATTTCCTTCTTGTTTCCTTCTAATAAAGGTTTAAAATTCCTATAAAATAAAATTCCTTCCATATGCGTGATTGGTTGATCTCCTCATCCACAGAGTCCCAAAGGATGTTCCTCATCATACGTTCAAATATTTTTGGCAATAGAGGTAGGCATAAGCATGATAGATATTTTGTAGATGATGGGGTAAATTTGCCAAATATAATTTTATTTTACTAAAGTGATCCGACCCCCTAAAGACGAAAATTTTGATTTCTAGAAGTTAAACTTCACCAGAAATCTCTAAATAATTGAACCCATCCTACTCTTGATAACCTTGCATTTGAAATAGGCAACCAAGATAATAAGGATTTGATCCACCTTAGAACCAAAAGAGATTGCTAAGTTGATCATCAAATTTCATTGACAAGTAAACCCTGCCAATGTTGTCTTCTTAAAATTAACCTTCAAGCCCAATGCCATTTTGCAGTATTTTAGAAATATGCTAATATTAAACATCATATGAAACATTTCATATCATTGTTTAGTATGCAAATCGGTGTTTTAAAACCCGGATTAGTAGGGTGGTTTGTTTACTCATAAATCCGTGTAGGATCATTGGATCGATGATTTCGGATCGAGCCTGAATCGACGACCAAAAAATATTAAAAAATAAATAAAAATAACATATAGATTTATAGGGTGGAGATTTAACAGACCTAAAAAAAATTAGACAAGCTTACAAAAAGAAAAAAGAAAATATTTTTTTTAGTGGGGGTGAGGGAATGCCATCCCAGAAGCAGTTCGGTCCCGGCAGATTTCCATGCAGATCGCAAATCTAGATTGAAAATTGCTGTATTTTAAAACATTGATCAAGCCCTTTTCAAATTTCCTTGAGGCACAAAATTGTATTGATTAGCCCCTATATCCACATAAAGATATGTTAAATTCGTATTGATGGAGGCTATGGAGTCCGAGTAAAAGCGTATTGTTATATCCTAGCTTGTTTCGCTTTTTGCAAATATTATATCACACAAAACGCTACAAATAATTCTTTATTTTCCTTTTAATTGGATCAAGCTAACTATTTAAGGAAGAATGTGATGATAAGCACTCACATATTAAAGACGGTGTCTTGTGCCCCTCCACCATAACAGACCACCACTTTACATCCATCTCTAAGATGGACGTTTGATGCATCAGGGTACAAAAATGTAAGATTGCTCCTTTTATATCAAAATCTGGTTGCCACAAATTTTAATTTTAATTTTTATTATTTTTATTTTTAGAGATGTAGATAAACTTTTTATTTTTTTATTTAGAGTTTAGAAATAAATTTAGTCCACGTTTTTAGTTTAGTGTTTTTAAACTCCTTAATGTGAGTTGGTTTTCGATAATCCTAAGATTAATGTTGAAATTCATCTTTTATTTGAAAGAAGTCCATAGAAAAAGTTCCATCTTTTGAAATGGACGTGAGATAGGAAGTATCTACGAGGAAAATAAGGAAAGTTGTGGTTTTGAGGGAAATCACTTAGAATAGGGAAGTGGGTATAATAATTATGCAAATCAAAATCTGATTACTACAAAATTTAAATTTTATTTTTATTAATTGCAATTTTTAGAGATATGGGTGAACTGTTTACTTTTATATTTAAGGTTAATTTTTAGAAAATATTAGTCCATATTTTTAGTTTAGTTTGATAAGCCCATTTTTGCTTCCTTTCTTTTCGTGTGAGCTGGCTTTAGGTAGGTCTATCAATATCCTAAGATTAACGTTGAAGTTCATCTTTATTTGGAATAAGTCCTTAGAAAAGGTTCCATCTTTAGAAATGGACATCAGACAGGGAATATTTATGAGGAAAATAAGGAAAAGCTGTGGTTTTAATCATTTAGAAAAGTGAAGCGGGTATAATAAGTAAGGGATTGTTTGTTTTTTTGGCAAGCGAAGCTTTAAGGATGATAAGAAGTGTATTTTTCTAGCAAGTCTACCTTTAGAAATATAGAACCCTTTATAAAAGGGATTCACCTAAATCGTATAGGGGTGATTGATTTTGTACAAAAAATAACAATAAAAAATCTACCCATATTTCTAAAAATAAAATTAACATGGATAAAATTATCAGATCTTGATATGCAAC